GCCGTGGCGTCAGCCTAGCTCACAGCAACCTCAAACTCCTGGGCTCGAGCGATCCTTCTGCCTCTAAGCCTCCCGGGTAGCTGGGACTACAGGCATGCGCCACCATGCCCGGCTAATTTTTTATATATATATCAGTTGGCCAATTAATTTCTTTGTATTTATAGTAGAGACGGGGTCTCACTCTTGCTCAGGCTGGTTTTGAACTCCTGACCTTGACAATCCGCCGCCTCGGCCTCCCAAGAGCTAGGATTACAGGCGTGAGCCACAGCGCCCGGCCTAGGTGTGTCTTTTGTAAGCAGCATTTAACTAGATTTTTTTTTTTTTTTTTTTTTTTTTTGAGACAGAGTCTCACTTTGTTGCCCAGGCTAGAGTGAGTGCCGTGGCGTCAGCCTAGCTCACAGCAACCTCAAACTCCTGGGCTCAAGCAATCCTGCTGCCTCAGCCTCCCGAGTAGCTGGGACTACAGGCACGCACCACCATGCCTGGCTAATTTTCTATATATATTAGTTGGCCAATTAATTTCTTTCTATTTATAGTAGAGACGGGGTCTCACTCTTGCTCAAGCTGGTTTCGAAATCCTAACCTTGAGCAATCCACCAACCTTGGCCTCACAGAGTGCTAGGATTACAGGCGTGAGCTACCACGCCCAGCCTAACTAGAATTTTTGAAGCCAGTCTGTAGAGAGAGAGGTGATGAGGCAAATATAGCAAAATTTTAATTGTAGAATCTAGAATGTATGGGTATGTACTGTACAATTCTTTTTTATATATATATATATATATATATATAGTTTTTTTGAGACAGAGTCTCACTTTGTTGCCCAGGCTAGAGTGAGTGCCGTGGCATCAGCCTAGCTTACAGCAACCTCAAACTCCTGGGCTCAAGTGATCCTCCTGCCTCAGCCTCCCTAGTAGCTGGGACTACAGGCATGCGCCACCATGCCCAGCTAATTTTTTCTATATATATTAGTTGGCCAATTAATTTGTTTCTATTTATAGTAGAGACGGGGTCTCACTCTTGCCCAGGCTGGTTTTTTTTTTTTTTTTTTTTTATTTCGGCATATTATGGGGGTACAGATTTTAAGGTTTCAATAAATGCCCTTTCCCCCTCTCAGGCTGGTTTTGAACTCCTGACCTCAAGCAGTCCGCCCGCCTCGGCCTCCCAGAGTGCTAGGATTACAGGCGTGAGCCACCGCACCCGGCCTGTACTGTACAATTCTTTCAGCTCTTCTATATTTTTGAAAATTTTCATTATAAAATGTAGAGGGGGAAAGTTTAAAAACCAAACAAAAATAAAAACCCTTTGGAGTGTGTGTAAAATCATAGCAGGTCACTCGGAGGGGAGTAATGACGAAGGCCCCACACCTGGCCTTGGCTCTGCCTTCCAGCTGTGGGTAAATCACTTAGCCTCTTTCATCCTGTTTTCTCTGGGCAGGATGGGCCTCACACCCAGCAGTGTCAGGGTGTTGCAAGTCCTCCGGGTAGTTCAATAACAGTTCATTTTCCTGCCTGGAGAACCACAGGGAACAGGTTGTGCCGGTGGTCACCAGCAGAGGGTGCACTTAAAGCAGCAAGCATAAAAAGTTTTCAAGCTCAGCCTGCCTTTAGGAATATTTTTTTTATAGCGATGCAAAATTCAGAGCTAAAGCAAGCCTCTCCACGTTGGGCTATGATTTCAGGCATATAAATATATTGCCGATGGCTGCAGTGGCTCCTGGCGCTGTCGCCGTCCTTGCCTATGCCCGTGGGCTCCACGTATGATCCCACTTCCAGCGCCTTGGCAAGGGTCTACTTCTCTAGCTGCATCAGACTTCGGGAGACCCTGGCACAGGGCCTGGCCCAACACTCAGGACTTGAAGACCGATGAATGTTCCCTGAATGAACTGACATTACTTCCCTCCTCCTTTATTTCCCTCCTCCTCAAAAGCAGGAGGATTAGTACTGGCTGTCAACCATCCCTTCACTGGTGTGCTTCCCAAAGCCTGGGTTCCTCAGCCTGGGCACAAATGGGATTATCTTGGGAGGCAATGGAACTGGGGGCCTCTCTGCATGCACTCCTATTGTGAGTTGAATTGTGTCCCCCCCCCAAAAGATAAGTTGGAGTCCTAACCCCTAGTATCTCAGAACCTTAGTTGGAAACAGGGTCATTGTAGATGTAATTAGTTATCATAAGGTGATTAGGGTGGGCACTAATTTAATATGACCGATGTCCTTATGAAAAGGGGAAATTTGGACACAGACATACACAGATCAGGGTGATGAAGCTATAAGCCAGGGAACACCAGAGATCCTCTGCAAACCACCAGGAGCTGGGGGCGCAGCCTGGAGCGGATCCTCCCTCACAGCCTCAGAAGGAACCAACCCTGCTGCACTTTGATCTTGGACTTCTGGCCTCCTGAACTGTGAGGAACTACTAACATCTGCTGTTTAAGCCACTCAGTTTGTAGTATTTTGTTACAGCAGCCCTAAAAATGAATCCTCCCCCAACCCCTTTCCCTAAAATGAGTGTTCTCTTTTTTTTTTTGAGACAGAGTCGCATTCAGTTTCCCAAGCTAGAGTGCCGTGGCGTCAGCCTAGCTCACAGCAACCTCAAACTCCTGGGCTCAAGCAATCCTTCTGCCTCAGCCTCCCGAGTAGCTGGGAATACAGGCATGCGCCACCATGACTGGCTAATTTTTTCTATGTATTTTTAGCTGTCCAAGTAATTTCTTTCTATTTCTAGTAGAGATGGGGTCTCGCTCTTGCTCAGGCTGGTCTCAAACTCCTGAGCTCAAATGATCTGCCCACCTTGGCCTCCCAGAGTGCTAGGATTACAGGTGTGAGCCACCACACCTAGCCTAAAGTTGAGTGTTCTTGTCACCGTCACTATGGGAATAGGCAGCTCCTGCTCCAGGAACAAGGGGTGAAAGGCCAGCTGAGTCCCAAGGCCCCGGACTCTGCCTAATCCTACTAGGTGCAATAGAAGTGGTGACGTCCCTCATTTTTCTAGCCATAAGATGAGGATAAACTCCTGCTCTACAGAAGCGTGATGAACTGAGTTCAATAAGATCATCTGCCCCCAGGTGACGTGATCCCCCGTGGCTGCTGAGCCCATCTTTCTGAAACATGCACACCTAGCCTGTCTCTGCTTGGCTGATAGCTCTCTCTGAGCTCCCCTTTGCCCCTGGCCTCCTCGTCCAGCCCTGCCTGCTTCTTAAGCTTTGACCAGAGGCCCCTGCACCCCACCTGCCTCCCAGGTGCTCTACGCATGGACCATAGTAAACCATGTTCTGGTCACTTCTCCTCTCTTGTATACCCCAGTGCCTTTTCTTATACCTGTCAGTGAGTCCAACTTCAATTTATCCACCTGGGAAAACCCTACGAGTTCTCAAGCTCCAGTTAAACATCAGCCAGTGAGCACGAGAAGAACCAGAGTTGAATTCAGATGGAGGGGGAAGGTGAGCTAAGCTACTTGCATTGGCGTATCTGGCTCTATCTCAGCCAATGATAAAATGCCAAGAGCTGCTATCACTGGTCCTGGGTATATGGCCCTTCAAGAAACCCATGTGGGGAAGGAATGGGTAACTGGGCAGGACCTAGTCATTCCTGGGCCTTAGAGCTAGAGACCCCCACTATTGTTATACTTACTCCCCACTCTCAGTGCAGAATGCCTTCCCTTCCCTCCTGTCTGGCAAATTCCAAGTCACTCAAGGTTGTGGTAGACCATTGTCCCCTAATATGTATTCTTCCATTTTTTTTTTTTTTGGAGACAGAGTCTCACTTAGTTGCCAGCCAGCTAGAGTGATGCTATGGCATCAGCCTAGCTCACAGCAACTCAAAACTCCGGTTCAAGCGATCCTGCTGCCTCAGCCCCCGAGTAGCTGGGACTACAGGCATGTGCCACCATGCCCAGCTAATTTTATATATATATCTATATATATTAGTTGGCCAATTAATTTCTTTCTATTTATAGTAGAGATGGGGTCTCGCTCTTGCTCAGGCTGGTTTTGAACTCCTGACCTCGAGCAATCCGCCTGCCTCGGCCTCCCAGAGTGCTAGGATTACAGGCGTGAGCCACCACGCCCTGCCTCTTCCATTTTTTTATACCATTATGGAATGATTACCTTGAATGGTTACATGGTGAGCCAGCTAAGTTTCCCAGCCTCCATTCAACTAGGTGTGGTCACATGACTAAATTTTGGCCTGTAGGATATAAGCAGAGGTGAAATGTACAATTTCTATGCCATGTAGTTAAAGAGGAGAAGTAGCATGCCACCCACCACCCCCTTCTTTATCCCCCTTCCTCCTGGCCAGAGGGTGGCATTATGGCGGGAGCTGGCAGCTTGGACCACAGGATGGGAGCTGTGTGTGGGGATGAAGAGGGCAGAGTAAAAAGCTGGAGGGAGCCTGGGTTACCATAACAGCTTGGACTTTTATGAGAGCAAGAAATAAACCTCCACTTTATTGAAGTCACTGCTGTTTTGGGTCTCTTGTTACCATGAGCCATTCCAGTGAAGTGGCTGAGAGCCAGATTCCCTGGGTTCAACACCAAGCTCTGCTACTTCCTAGCAGTGTGATCTTGCCAAGTCATTTAATGTGTCTATAGCTCAGGTTCTTCAACTAGGAAATGTGAGTGGTAAAAATACCCACCACCAGCTGTCGTGAGGATCACATTAGCTAATTCTACACAAAGTGTTAGGAACGATGCCTTGCACATAGTTAACATATGTAAGCAGTAGCTGTTACGGCAGTTCAACCTAGAGTTTCAGTAATACACAAGCCCACCTCAAATACTCTCTCTCTAGAATGTTCCTGAGCAAGCCCATGCCTGCTTCTTCCCTGCACCCACAGCAGCAGGAGCTGCACTTGAGAGCTTTGCTGAGCTGAGTTTAGTTGAACAGAAACTAATGTTCCTTACAGAAACACAAAGGAGAGCTTTGGTAAATGTTTTGTCCACAGTAGACAATTAAAGTTGAAGAGTACTTCTGGACCAAGGAGTATACTTTTTTAAAAAAATAAATGTGACTCTTTAAGGTTGCTGTAATTTATACATAAATGAGGGGAATGAGGATGTCTTTTTCATTATCGACCTCTTGAATTAAATTGTTTGAAGTAATCTTCTGTGGGTTGACTTCTAGAGACTTCATTCATATATTTTTTCCTGATAAAACAAAAGGAGAAAAAATGATTAGTAAATATGTTTACTTTGAAAACACTCTACTTTTTTTCCTAAAAAGCCACAAACTTTTTATTAGTGTATTATCCCCAAGATAAAGAATACATATCAACTCTAATGAGCTCAAAAACATGACCCACCTCAACTGCTTCTCAGCAGTGAGGTTCATTTGACAATCACACTGCAGTTAGAATAGGGACTGGCACCAGTGAAACTTGCAGATATTGTTAAATTAAATTTCCATGGGTGTGAGTGTAAAGATGCTTTGCTCATCCCATTTGATTAGTCATATCATCTCTTAATGCTCCTTTTAAGCCCCTAACAGAGGTAAGGACAAGAGATGGGCCCACCGGTAATCAGACCTCTGATTGGAGAAGATACCAGTCCTTTCTGAGTTCAAGCCAAGAGCCTGAGAAATAGATAAGTAAATACTGTGTTTTCAGTTGCAAGCTCACCTATTTATCCACATTTCTTGTTGCTGGAACTCTGAACTACTCTAGGGGTCCTGTCTGTAACCCAGAGACTCCAGGCTTGTTCTGGGCAGCCCTGGAGCCCCTCCTTGCAGTGATCTCAGCCTGAAGCCTCCCCCTTCCCGACTCTCCCAGTGACTTGAAGCCCTTCCCTGGGGCTTCCGGTGCTCTCCGTGAGCACACTCCGCATGCGCAGCAGTGACCTGTGGGTCTGCCAACCCTTGTCTGAACCTAGAGGTCCCTGGTGCCCAGGTGAGGACTGTCCCAGGAGTGGTGTCCGCTCCCCAACCTTGAGCCCACAATCCCCAGCCCCTCCGCCGGGCCACCCACAAGGCACTCACTGCAAGCACTGCTCCCTGGCCAGGCTGAGGTTGCTACTGTCCAGAGCCCTGCGCAGGTCTCGCTGCTGGCGCAGCTGTTGGCGCTCCAACAGCAGGTTGGCGCGGGCCCCCTGGATCCGCCTCCGGTCCCAGTCCATGTCTCGCTGGTACTCTTCCTCCTGGAGCCTCTGGAGGGAGGAAAGATGACTCGCCTTTCCTGAGCCAAAGAGCCCCTCCTCTCATTTTACAGATGGGTAAACTGAGGCTCAGAGACCAGTGTCATGCAGGAAGCCCTCATTCCATGTGGCCCAGCTGTTCCCCACCCTCAGAGCTGTGGGCCATCCTCTGACTCCTGAAGAGACAGTAGGGGCTCAATTCCAACAGTGGCCCCAGCCCCAGCTGCCCATGTGCAGGCCTGAGTCCTGGGTCTTCCCTCCTTGGATCCTCAGGAGGGTTCCCTCGCTTGGTCAGCAGTCAGATACCAGCTCCACAGGCACTGCGTGCTGCTCCACCTGGCTGAACTAGAACTTGCTGATACCACAGCCCTACCCAATGACAAAAAGGTCACAATCCTGGGGGGAGGGGCAGCCTGGCCCCTGAATTTCTGCATTTCAGCTCATTCCTCACTGCCCTCCACGTGGCTCTATGAAAACCATGAAGCCCTAGAAGAGGAAACTGGAGTAGACCAGAGGGAGGGAGTTGTGCCTGCCCTCTCATACTCCCATGTGGATTACTTTATCAGTGCCCCTTCTCCCTAGTGGACAAAAGCAGCAAGCTCAGTGGGTCAGGGCTGAAGGTAAGTCCCCTCCACCCCCTTCCCAGGGTTTTAGGGCAGAGCCTGCTCCCACCGGTTGAGCAGGGGTAGAGTGTCCAGTAGCCCCACAGGCCTGGGTCAGCCCCTACCCAGGACTGAAAGGCAGGCTGGTGCCCGGCTGGGTCACCTGTGAGGCAGGTCACCTGGCTCCTGTGAACCTCAGTGCCTCCACCTATAAAGTGAGGCTGTTTGAAGGACCTTGGGTCATCACACAGCTGCTTGGTCACAAATACGAAATGACACAGGACACACTCCCCCGGACTAAGAGCAAAGCAGACAGCCCAATACTCTCTGCATGACCTCAGTTTTCCCAACTACCTCCACGCACATAAAAGGGGGTGGGAAGAGAGGACACTGAAGGGCACGGCAGGGCGGTATTTTTGAGTGGGGAGATTTAATGTGCTGTTTTTCCCTTTGTGCTTTTGTATTCTTAATTTCCATATGGGATTATTAATATCTGGCTCTTGTCATCCCACCCACCCCCACCCCCTAGAATGAAAACTCCTTGAGGGCAGCTTCTAGGGCAGAGTGCGACAGCTGCTGTAACTAGATCTATGCCTGGAAGGCAGGCGCAGCACAGAGGCCCAGTCTTTGGGCTGTGTTAGGAGGGGTGGGACAGGCACCAGCTTCTCCTGGACTTGCTGTTTCTGAACCAGGCGGATCTGCTCCAGCTGCTCCTGGGTCATGCCCTTCCAGCGGTCCAGGATCACATGGTGGGGCCCAAAGGAGCTGGCTGCCTGCTGCGGGTTCTCAGAGAGCAGGGACCCATGCAGGAGGCTGGAGATCTCGGCCAGGTTGTCCTCCTCTTCTTGCTTTTTCTCTTGCTTTTTCCTTGCCGCCGACTCCATGGCCTAAGCAGGGGAACACATTAAGGAAGATACTCTGACTCCAGGGGATTCTGGAGCAAATGTACAGATAATTTCACTGGGCCCTTGGAAGAAGGATGTGCTAAAAGCAGCCAGAGTCTGGGGGTGGGGGTTAGACTTGTCAGGCATGGATGTAGGTGTATTCTTGGACCCCTGGCTGCCTGAGCACTGCTGGGTGGGGGTCAGGCTGAGGGGATCACTACCTGTTGGGTGTGTACATAAGACTTCCAGATCTTTGTCCCAGTGTGCCAAAGCAGGGAGCTACTTCCCTGGCCTAGTGACTCTGGGTGTCTTGTTTTGCTCTTTGGTCCTTGCCATCACTGGCAGTTTGCCCTCCTCATTCCTCTCCCTGCTGTGAAAAGCAACATTCTTTGGTCTCCAGGATTTGTGATTGCATACCCCTATTAGTAGAACATTTTTGAGCTTCTGTCTCCAATACATACAGTTCACAATGTGATACTACTATGCCATAAATAGAACATGTGCTTTATCAATTACACACAAACACAGGAATAAAAGTGACGAGGCTAAAAATAAATGTGTTGCAAAGTTCTAATGTTTTCTTCTATGGATTATCTTGCACGGCAAGCCTTCTTTGGAGACTATAGTTCTAGGTGACAAGCTAATCTGATAAACTAATCCAGGTCAAGCCTGTGCCCACCCAAGAAATATAGTTGCATCTGAAAAGAAAACCTTGAGGGGTGGGGTATAATTTCCAAAAGGAATAGAGAACTTAAAGCAACTTTAGCATGGGGTTGGAGGGGAGAGGACTGTGTCGGAGGAAGTGGGCCAGAGTTTAGATAGGAGGAGGCAGCTTCAGGAGACACCAAAGTCTGAGCTAGGCACCATCATCATCATCACCATTACTCCCATTAATGGGCAGCTGTGTACCTCTTCTTGGCAAAGAGGAGCTCTGAGTGGTGCTAAAGGACTGCAACCAGTATCAGGCATCGGAGCAGTGCTGGGGTATCAGTCTAGGTAGGTGTTACTGTCCTCATGTTACACAAGAAGAAACTGAGGTTTAGAAAGGTAGGTGACCTCCCCAGCTTGCATGGCTCCTAGATTCAGAACTGAGGATGGGGACTGGGTCTCATCATCTTGTAACTGGGCAGCTCCTGTTGGGCTCTGCCAGGGTTGGTGGTGTGACTGAGAGAGCAGGCTGACTGGGATCCCAGGGACCTTCCCAGGGAGACCAGAGAGCCCCAGGACACTGCTGCGTGCTTGTCCTCCCCTCCAGACACTGAGCTGGGGGGATACATACCTGGTTCTTGTTGAATTCTTTCACAGCTGCACAAACTGCCTTTTTGGTGGCACTTTCCAGCTTCTGTAGGTGCCTGGCTGTTTCATCAAACTGCAGCATTGTCTCTGTGTAGAGGTTCTCTGAAAGGAGGCAAGATGCAATCAGACCGAGTTGCCTACCAGGAGCACCTTCCCAGGCGTGCTGAGCACCCTGCAGTGTGGTTGTTCTGCCTTCACCTCTCACCATGTCCTCAACCAGGAGAACAAGGGAGGGAATGATGACTATAGGACCTGCCTTCCAAGGCTACAGGGAGAGCTGGATAACAAATTCAAGTAGAGCTCCTAGACGGGTGCCTGGCACTCAATGAGTGCTAGTGATCAGTACTGTGGGTGGGTGATGTCTGCTGTGGTTCCAGGATTGGCTGATGGTGTGCTCCTTGCTATCCCTGTTCTGCCAGGAGGCAGCTACATCCTAATAGTGGACAAGGAATGGGGAAGCCCAGAAAAAGGGGCTGTGGAAACCAGACAGGCCTCCATGGAGGAAGGGATGCCAGGTTACAGATATTTGTAGTATGGCAATAGGACTTTGCCAGGCCAGCGGGGTAAGGGAGAGGAGGAGGAGGAGGAGTCATCAAAGTGGAAGGTCCAAACAGCAAAATGTAAAGATTTGGAGTCGAACAGAGCTGGTTCACATCCCAGCCCACACATGCCCTAGCTCTGTTAACCTCAACTATTACTTAACCTCTCTGAGCCTCTGTGTCCTTATGGAGGCAGGACAATACCTGCTTGGCAGGGTTGTTAAATTTTTAAGAAAGGCATTGATCAGAAGTTTCTTCATTCCCAGGGAAAGAAGAGCTATGAGGGAAAAAAATGAAAGAAAAAAAAAATAAAATAAACGAGAGAGAGAGAAAAAAAAATACAAAAAGGGAGAAAAAGAAAAAAAGAAGTTTCTTTATTGGTATTTGTGCTTGTGGGTCTCCTCATTACCTCCAAAAACAAACACCAAACTCTTTAGCTTAGAATTTCTGGCCTCTGTGCGTGTCAAACTCATCTCTCATCCTTCATTTGTTCATTCATTCATTCAACATACAGCCTTTAAGAGCCTGGCATAGGCCGGGCGCGGTGGCTCACACCTGTAATCCTAGCACTCTGGGAGGCCGAGGTGGGCGGATTGCTCGAGGTCAGGAGTTCAAAACCAGCCTGAGCAAGAGTGAGACCCCATCTCTACTATAAATAGAAAGAAATTAATTGGCCAACTAATATATATAGAAAAAATCAGCTGGGCATGGTGGCACATGCCTGTAGTCCCAGCTACTCGGGAGGCTGAGGCAGGAGGATCACCTGAGCCCAGGAGTTTGAGGTTGCTGTGAGCTAGGCTGATGCCACGGCACTCACTCTAGCCTGGGCAACAGAGTGAGACTCTGTCTCAAAAAAAAAAAAAAAAGAGCCTGGCATAGGCCACCCACTTGGCTGGGAATGCAGTACATAATGGTTAATAAAACATAAAGGTTTTTTTCTGCCTTCCTAGAACTTGCTGTCAAGGAGATGAGATAACAGGAAATGTATGAACCCCAAAATAAATGTGTTAATCCAAACTGTGATAGGCCCATAGAAGAAAGGATGCAGGACTAAGAGAGAAAACGCTGGGGACACCTCACTTAGGTAATTGGGGGCGAAGAGCAGGGTGTTACTGGACTTGCACTGAATTTGACAAGTGTATTAAAGACACTAAAAGCAATTGGATGTATTTATGAGTCTGGATTCAGGGAAGAGGCCAGGCTGGACATACACACTTGGGAAATGATGGCCTATAGGTGCTATTTAGAGCCTGAGACTAGATGAGATTACCCAGGGATGAGTTTAACAGAGAGGAGAGGCCCAGAGAGCACTGATACACAACATCTAGAAGTTCAGAAGATGGGGAGAAACCAACAAAGGACTGGGCAGGAAGAGAATCAGCATGAGAGTGGTGTCCTGGAAGCCAAGGTGATCAACTGTATCTCATGCTGCTGATAGGTCCAGATGGAGATCAAAAACTGACCTTAGATTAGGCACATTGGAGGGGCCTGGGGAGGTTGGCCAGTGCGGTTCCAGTGGAGGGAGTAGGGCAGAAGTCTGGTAGGAGTGGTTCAGGGAGAATGGGACACGATGATTTGGGGAGATGTCACTCATGGAGAGTAGAGTGAGAGAAGAGGAATCTGGGAGGAGGATGAGCTGATCAAGGAGACTGTAAATTAGCAAGCAGAGAGGAGGGGCTCAAGGGGACAGAGAGCCTTGCTCCATCCCAGCTCCTTGTTTTGTCTCCATCTCAGCTCATCATCATCATCTCATCACTTGCTGATATGCCCCCTGGGAGCAAGGATGTTGTGGTCTTTACTGCTGTGTCTTCCTGGCACAGGAAGTGGCAGGGAGGCTCAAATGCCACTAAGAGTATGTGTGGAAAGAACTGGTAGAGCAGAACGCCAATGGCTTTAGTGAAAGTAAGGTTGACTGGGTCTTCCGCAGCTCCCTCACAGAGAGAGGCCATTTCACGCCACAGAACCTTTGCCCAGTAGGTTCCCTGGGGAGTCCTGGTGAGGACATGTGACCACCACGCCCCCGCAGTACCCTGTAGGAACTTCTACCACAGCACCCAGGAGAGTGGGGCGCGGGGGGCTACATATTTCCCATTCATCTTCCCAGCAGACAGTGAACGCACTGAGGGCAGGGACCCATTCGTAGTTACCTCTGTGCTCCAGCACCCAGCTCGGGCCCTGACACAGACACATGCTCAGAAAGTGTTTCCTGCATGACTGACATGGGACTGGAGGCGTTTCCCTCTTGGGGTGCAGGCTCTGACTTCTTTCCCCATATGGCCAGAGCAGCATCTGGCTGGGCACATTAGTAGGCACATTAAAAACAAACCCATAAAAATTAGAGGTTGGTTTGCTGAAGAGAGTATTGAGACCAATTTGTCTCTTTGTTTCATTACCTGCACATTTTTGGACAGCACGGGCATTCCTCCTTTCCCTTTGCTGTTGAAAGGACCACTCTCTGTTTTGCTCCTCTTGGAATTTCTTCCTTTCGTAGAAGTTTAAATCTTCTCCCATGAATTTCTGCATTCCTGATACTGTATTCCGAATATCATTATCTGACTGCCGGGCTGGAATATCTTTCTTAAGGGATAGGGGGTCAGACAGATCAAATTCACGGCGAGTTTCTGGCTTCTGAAATCTCTGTTGGAAATCATTGATAGCTCTACAGAGATTTTTCTTATCTTTCCTTTCCCGTTCTTCTAATATGCACATGATTTTGTCATTATGCCTCATTTCAGCAGCTGGAAAAGACATAAGCTTAAGATTCAGACAAAAAAATAAACTTGAATCCACTTTAAAAACTAATTTTTAGTGATTGTAAGAGTAATACAACTCTCCAAAAGAGTCACACAACCATTAAAGGATCAGTATCTGGAATACACAAAGAGTGCCTACAAATTCATCAAAAAAACCCAACCAAAAATTGGGCAAAGGATAGGAGTAGGCAAATCACTATAAAGAAAACTGAGTAATCAATAACTTGCAAAAGGGTGATCAACCTTACAAGATGGGAAACATCCAATGAATTTGAGGCAAAATATTTACAATGCTAACAGTAGCACATACTAGTAAGAATGTGGGGAAACAAGATCTTTCATTTACTGCTTATGGGAGCATAACTAGGTACACTTACAACAAAGCAATTTGGAAATATACCATAAAACTGAAAACATGCCTACCTATGACCTACCAGCTCCACCTGTAGGTCGCTCTCACATGTGTGCTAGGGACATAATGCATGGACAGTCATCTCAGCAGTGTTTGCAATGATAAAAAATCTGGTCAAAAAAATCTAAACCACCATCATTAAGGGAATGGGTAAAGAAATTGTGGTTAACTCATATAACAAAATGCCATAAAACAATTAAAATGAATATTCTCTATATGTAGATCACTGCTTAGTTTCAAAAATAAAACTGAATGAAAAACATATGCTGCAAAAGGATCTATTCAATAGGATACCAGCCTTTTTGTTACAAGGAGGTCTGTTTGCTGTCTGTGGCGAATGTATCTTGCTGTCACTCTGTAAACCTATCTTTCTCTCCTCAATGAACCTTGTTTCATGCTTACCTTGTTTTTGGTGTCTGTCATTCTTCAGCCAAGAGTCCACCAAGAACTGAGAACAGACAAAAATACCAACCCCTAACCCTGACACTTTAACTTCTGTGACTCTTTTCCATGGTTTGCTTCCAAACTTTCTGTCCTTCTTTATCAGTCTTCTTCCATTTCTTAAATATTGGAGAGCCCCAATGCTTCTCCCTGAACCTTCTCTTTTCACACTTGTTTTTAGCCTTTTTTTGACATCATGGAACTCCTGGAGAATGTGATAAAATCCAGGAATCTTCTGAGGGGAGGGAATATTGCAGATAATTTTAGGATTACATGGACATCCTGAAGTAACTGGTAGACCCCCTGGGGGTCCTTACTCCTCAGGTTAAGAACTACTTTTTCATGGCTTTAACTACCATCTATGGTGCTTGATAACTCTCAAATCTTTTTTGTTTAGCCTGGATCTCTCTCTTGATCGCCAGACTCACATATCCAACTGCTTACTGTATTCCTTTGCCTGAAAGTCAAACAGGCACCTCAAACTCATCATGTCCCAACTGAGCTCATCTCTCCCCATCCTCCCAATAGTTCTGTATCCTGTGGTTTCCATTTTGGTGAGTGACACGATCATTCAACCGATTGCCCAAGTTATAAAGAAAGAAAGGCAACGATCCAGACTTAAAAAAAGGGAGCTATTCAATAGGATACCATTTATGCAAGTTTTAAAGCACACAAAAATAATTTATATTGTTATGGATACATATGTAAATAGTATAAGTATAAAATGTTTGGGAATGATAAATACTCCTGAGGAGGAAGGAAAAGAAAAATTATGAGGTAAGGAATAGCTTTAGCTATACATATAATACAATTCTCAAAATGTACTATTAAGATATCTGAATGCAGTTTGGCAAAATGTTAACATCTATAATAGTCTGGTGGTAGGTACATTATGTGTCTGTCACACTGTTTTTGTAAGTTTGAATTACTTTATAACTAAAAATAAAAAAGGTAAAAATTTTGGAAAATACAGAACAGTATAAAGGAGAAAATAAACTTCACTTATAATCATAATTCTATCACTCCAATATCACCATTGCTAACATTTTGATATATTTCCTTTCTTCTTCTAAGCATATTTTAAAAACTTAGGCCAGGCGTGGTGGCTTACACCTCTAATCCTAGCACTCTGGGAGGCCAAGGTGGGTGGATCATTTGAGCTCAGGAGTTCCAGACTAGCCTGAGCAAAAGTGAGACCCCGTCTCTACTAAAAAAATAGACAGAAATTAGCTGGACAACTATATATATAATATATATATATATAAAGTTAGCTGGGCATGGTGGCACATGCCTGTAGTCCCAGCTACGTGGGAGGCTGAGGCAGGAGGATTGCTTGAGCTCAGGAGTTTGAGGTTGCTGTGAGCTAGACTGATGCCACTGCACTCTAGCCCCAGCAAAAGAGTGAGACTCTGTCTCAAAAAAAAAAAAACCTTAATTGATAGCTTATTATATGCATAATTTTGTATCCTACTCTTTTTCAATTTTAAAAATCCTTTGGTGCTTTAAAAAACTGAAATCATGCCTCTGAATAGTGGGTGCTAAAAAAAATAAAAATAAAAAAAAAATAAAAAACTGAAATCAAAAGTTACTAAAATTGTTGGACATGATAGGGGAAATAAATTCTATTTTTCTATTTTGAAATTTTGATATAAGACCTAGAATGCCATTATTTGAATCATGTCTATCTCTTCAAGGGCGTGAGCTTGGGCATGTTTGTCATCTGATGTAAACTGCTGTCCTCCAAGAAGGCCTTAAACTTTTGGGGCAGAAGAGAGAGAGACAGAGAGAGGAGACAACGGTGTGTGTTAAGGACTTTGTCCTACCTGTTTTTTTAAGAAAACAGAGAAAAACATACATTTATCCTAAAAATATATTTCTGCCATCTACACTAGAATTCACCAGTGTGTTTTTCTTTTAAGGAGAAAAAGAGAGTAGCGCATTAAGTTAATGAGCGGCACAAGAAATTTTAAAAGGAAGAAGAGTGTGAAAATGACGATTATGTACATAAGACTGGAGTCTAAAGGCACACAGCTGTATACCAACAGATAAGCATTCAGGAAATGCTCACCAAAAGTGTCATGTCTAGCTTTTCAGTTGCTTCTTTTATCTTCTGGTCACGAAGCTGAAAATTCCAGGCTTCTATGTCTCCCTGGAATGTAAAACCAAGACAGAAGAGTTAGAGCCAGATAATTTTGTTCTGTAGATAAGAATCCTACTTATCTTTTTGGACTTGCTCCACTATAAAGGCGTTGTCTTGGTAGCCGATACAGTATCAGGCTCTTTCATACCTTGGAATGCTTTGTTAGCAGCCTCTTTGGCTCTTCCAACTTTAGCCCTACTCTCGGCTTCCCCCTCCTTCTGCCTTAGTTACCAATACTCATCCTCAAAATCATTCCTTAGACAAGCAACTCCTCTGAGGAGGCCCCTCTCTGTGATCTTCCCAACCCTCAGGCCCCGCAAGTCTGTGCCTCAGGTGACACCCCAGTGCTTACCTCGGCTCACCAGTACTGATTCCACTACATTCCCCGCCTTAATACCGATTTAGTTTAATAATTTTTAATGGTTGCTTCTGGGACACCTCGGAGCCTCGTGCAAGGTCAGCGGGACCCGGCTTATTCCAGCTGCATCGGACGCTGGCCGCCAGCGCTTGGGGCACACAAACATAAGCAATTCGCCCCTGGTATTGTCCCAAGGGCAGCGAACCCAGAAAAGGAAAGCCCCTTGGGAATCGTAAAAAAATCTGGTTCGCAGGGAGGAGAAACGGGCGAGATCTAATCTCTGTTTCCACTAACTCGCCAGGCAAGCTGCCCTCCTCTCTGGGTCGCAAACAAGGGCATGCTCGTAGGTGACCAAGGGGCACCACTGTTTGGGCGCTGTTAAGGTCTCTCCCCCGCCACCTGTGGGCCACGAGTCCGAAGCTACGGGTCCGAACTCGTTCCTCTTCAAATGCGCCCGCCCATGGGCTCACCCCTGGTGAGCCTTCGCAGCTGTGGCCTGGGTCAAAGTCTTAATTTGCGCTAGGCAATATGGACGTACGCGGCCTTACACAAGGGGCGATACAAGCTCGACATGCTACGCCGATTTGCTCCGCCAGACCAATCCCCATTACCTGGCATCGTACCCAAAAGATCCAATG